GAATTTAAGAAGAAAGAAAGATATATGGATGTTGTTGAAAAAATGCAAGCAAAATTCAAAAAATATTTCTTTCCAATTCCTCTGATTTACTCAATTGGTGTTGTTTTAAATCCTTCTATTAAGATGTCTGATTGTCACCAATTAATGAATGCTTTATATACTTATATGGAGATTGGACCAACTGGAACCCCAGATATATATGTTTCTATGAACAAGCTAAATGATTCTTTACAACAATTATATAATTATTATGCAAATATAATTGATAATGCTGCTCTTAATGTAGGCAATGTTAATCCCACTATGCAACGTACCACTTCTACTACTGTGGATGATGAAGAAGGCCTTGATAGTTTTAATATTTTTTCTACATTTTCTAACACTCAAACTAGTAGCAGGAACATTGATGAACTTCAATTCTACTTGCAGAAGCAAAAAGAGCCTCGCACAAAGGAATTTTCACCGTTGGGATGGTGGCATGAGAATGGAAAGCAATTTCCTGCTCTTTCCGCTATGGCTCGGGACGTGCTGAATGTGCCAATTTCAACTGTTGCATCAGAGAGTGCATTTAGCCAAGCAAGACAATAACTTGGAGACACCCGTCACTCATTGGGAAGCAATGTTTTGGAAGTTTTTTAGTATGTTTCAGAGATTGGATTAGATCGGAACGAAGAAATCAAGGACGTGAGATGTTGATAGCCCAGAAGACGAGGAACTTGGAGATATATTAACGCATGGTAACCCATCCTCCAAAGGAAGGCCACTCAGTTCATATTGATTATGACGAACTTACTAAGGTAACGCAAAACCTTTGAAAGTTTGAATTTACTCTTTTTTGGTTAATTTGCTTGTTGTTAAATGTAAACACCTTTCAATTTGTAAGTTTGAATTTTGCAATAAATGTAGCACTTGCAATTTATAACTGCAATTTTTTCCCATCTTTTTTATATTAATATAACTTACAATAGTTATACAAAAAATTAAAAATAACACTAACCCGGCCCGGCCCCTTGTACCCGTAACCCTTACGGTTCAATTTTTACCCGGATGAACCTGAACCCGGTATGCCCCAACCCATAACCGGCCCGGACCATAACCCGTACGGTTACTAAATTTCCCTACCCGGCCCACCCAGTGTTAAAAATAGCGTGAAGCGAGGAAAAGCGACAACCCCCATTTCACGAAAAGCGAGAAGCGAAGCGCCCACTTTTTTTAAGTGAAGCGGAATTTAAAAAAAAATTAAAATAAACAATTGGTCAGAAACTCTGGCAGAAACTGGGCAGAATTTTTCTGAAAAAAATTTGCCAGCATCTCGGCGCTTTTTGAACGTTTAGAAAGAAAAAGAAAAAGAAGAAGAATGAAAATAAATTTGGAAAACATACCTGTTGAAACTAAGTTGCTGTTGTACTGTTGAAGTCTTGAAGAAGAACCCTAGTTTGCTTGAACAAATCGCTGGTTGAAGTGAGGAAGAAATCGCTGGTTTGAAGAACCCTAGTTTGCTGCTAAAGAAATCGAAGAAGTGCTAAAACAGAAACAGCGATTTGGGTCTTTTAATTGAAAAATCGTCCGCTTTGATCGCTTATGGGCGCTTCACCGCTTTTCGCTTTTTAGAGAGAAGCGGTCGCTTATGCATACCTGAGCCGCTTTTAACACTGGTAGCGACACCCCTCCCGCTCCGCTTCGCATCTCGCTTAAAACGAGGAAGCGCCCGCTTTTTTTAACACTGGGCCCACCCGTTAGACACCCATAGAACGGACCAACCCCCTACCCCTATAACCCAGCCCCACCCGGCCCCCTTGTACCGGTCCGGGCCGGTCCGGAAACGGGCTGACCCGGCCCGTTAGACACCTATACTTTGATATGACCCTTTTGTTCAGGTCTTCCGTCCCTACTATTTAATCAGATCATCTAATTTCCATGAACAGCATTCCTTGTCCTCCTCTCTTTCCCAACTCTCTCATCCTTCCCCTCTGTTTCCCATGTGAATCGTAGTTGATGGAGCACCACATTTTCCTTACAAGTCCATAAGTTGGAATTGGTGCATTTTTTGTTTATGTAGAGTGGTCGGACCCATTTTCATTTGTCTCTGCATTGTTCTTTCATAAGAGGAATGAGAAGACTCTATTTGCACTACCTGATGAGTCTTTTGTGATCCAATACTCAGTCAACTAGTTCTTTTTTATCTTAATTGGTAAAAAGATACTTTCTTAGATGGGCACCAAGGAGTTGCATCTGGATACACCAGGATTGGCAAAAAGCATCAAGTATCAAGAAATGTGAGGAGAGAGAACCCAATTACATTCTAACTAAACCGATGAACCATACAAGGTTCTCAACCCTATTGGCACAATATTCTATGCAACAAGATAGTTGTCTAAGGCATTGAAACTTTAGTTTGGGAATATGCTTATTCAAACCCTTAAAGCATCTAATATTTCTTTCCTCCACAAGGTACATGCAACACACTAGGAAAGCATAATTCATAGCTTGTTTTTCAGCCAATAAGGTTTTAATGGTTAAGCATTTTGGCTTTAGTTGTACTTGTACAAAGAATTGATATAGGGTATATTTCTACAAAGCATACACCATAACTGTTCTGTAAATGATTTCTCTCTCTAATCAATCTTTCATTGACATTGGAGGGCTTTATTTATTGGTGATCTCTTTATCAGGATCATGGGGAAGTAAGAGAAGAAGTGATATAGTTTGATGTCCTTGATAATTTGATGAGAAACACCTGTTTTTATGTGTTAAACCCAATTCACATATAATATTTTTCCGATTAGGAAAATGACAAACTTAAGAACTCAACTTAAAACATTCTGATACTAACATTCTAACATTCTCCATAAACTCATTGTGGAGAGAGTCTACTTGTTTGAAGTTTAAAAAGTAAATGATTTTTCTTGATAGTGTCATTCAGTCATTGGGTGATTACCGGAAAAATATGTCGATGAGTTGCCGAAAAAGTTTGGTTGTCGATTTATTGTTGGAAAAATTTTCGCCAACAAGATTTGGCTAGTAAAGCTGCTGAAAAAGTGGCTGAAAATGAACCCGAGTTTTTGTGCTACAGATACCTACTTTAGCCTTCCCGAATCGTGAACTTGGCTCTAAAGATCCGGTATCACACATATTTGATACTGACTACTCATACAAGGCATGTATGTTCTAGCTTCTGGTACAATGTTCTCAAACAAGAAAGCTTTCGTTAATGGATTTAATGTTAAAGATGGAATTCATCCTAGTCATGCACTGACCTTGTGGACGTTATAATCTTTGAATGAATAATTTTAGAAAATAATGGAATTTCTATATTAATCGAGTGCTGCTTGGTTTAGAATGAAGCACGCCCCTGCCTCCACAAGAAAATACCCACAGACACACGCTTGAAGAATTAAAAATGGTAATTGGACTCCATTAGAAAAGAAATTGGACTCCATTGGAAGACAGTTCTTATGGGATGGGAATGGAAACAAAAGGAAAACACCTGGTCAAGTGGCAAGTGGTTACTGGAGATAAGAAAGCAGGAGATTTGGGAGTGAGAAATCTAAAACTACAGAATAAACCTTGCTTTTCAAGTGGCTGTGGAGATATAGTAGGGGAAGTTAGGAAGTTTGGCAAAAACTGTTAGATGCTATCTGTGGCAAAAAAGAGGGATGGAGACAACATCCCACAGCTAAAATCATGTGGAGCAATCTGGAAGAAAATAATTGAAGGGTGGGATGAATTCTTACAGTATACTAGGTTAGAGGTTGGTAATGGTGCTAGAATCAAACTCTGGCTGGATTTGGTATGGAGATGAAGTTTCAAAAATAGATTTCCAGATCTCTTTAGCTGTGCTGTGAATAAAGAGGGATATTACTGATTTTAGTCCAGATTCAGGCTGGCATATTACATTTAGAAGGAACCTGAATGACTGGGAATTGGATAGTTTCTGGCAAATGCTTCAAAATCTGAACACATGCTAAATTGAAGTGGACAAAGCAGACAATTTAATTTGGGTTAATAGCAGGGACAAACTATTCTCAGTAAACAATTGCTACAAAATGCTATTACAACAGAATAGCCTGGAGGTTCCCAATTGGCCATGGAAAATGATTTGGAAAACCAAGGCATCTATGAAAGCAGCTTGTTTTGGATGGGTAGCAGCCAGAGAGACTTGTTTAACTCAGAGTAATTTGCAAAGGAGAGGTTTTCCCATATGCATCTGGTGCTATCTCTGTAATATGGAGCAGGAAACAGTGGAACATCTTTTTCTATGTTGCAAGTTTTCAAGACAATGCTGGGAACTTTTCCTCAACATCATGGGAATAATCATTTGTTATACCGCAGAAGATCAGTAGCCTCATGGAAATTCGGCAATCTCAGAGAATTAGAAGAAATTTGAAGCAGATATGGAGGACCATTCCCAACTGTATGTTATGGACTGTTTGGCTGGAAAGAAACAAGGCATGCTTTGAGGGGAAGAGGCTGCAGATTGATAGAGTCAAAAACAAATGTATCAAGAACTTACATTATTGGTATAATAGCAGCACTTTAGATAGGATGGATCAATAGTTGGACTTTTTGTATCTTTTTTGGGGGGGGGGGGGGGGGGGGAACATGTAGTGTGAGTGGTGGCAGTATTGCTGATTTGCTTTGTACTTGCTTTTTTACCATCTTGGAACCATTTAAATAAAAGACTTTATTTATCAAAAAGGAAAAAAAAGGAACTTGAATCATGCAAAAATTAGTTCAATAGCTCATATTTGCCCATTTCCATCCCAAACTATCTTGATAAAGAGTTGCTGTTATTGTTGAGATATTTATATTCTGGAATCTGACGAGTTATATTTAAACTGTTCCTATTTGAAAATTTGAACGTATCTTTCTCGTACTGCACCAATGTAGTAGTTAGTTATATATCTATATCATATGTATCTATATATTTTTTGAGCCAGATATTATGTATAACGTATTAGTCAAAACTTATTATATCGCTTTTCTTTTCTTGTTTGCAGTGCCTCCTTGGTTAACTAGAATTACAGAGAGAATAAATGAGAAATCAGAGTTATTTCCTTCATCAATTAATCATGTGCTTATCAATGAATACCTTCCTAACCAAGGAATAATGGTTTGTTCTGAACTCGTGTAAGCTGCTTTACTCATTTCATTTGCTGCTTATTCTTCTTTTTCTTCCTCCTTTTTCCCCATTTCCATTTTCATCTCAAATATATGTTCCCATATTCTCTTTTGTTTTGTAACACCTACTTCCTTACAAAGTTTTGAACATTTTGACATGAAGCTGTCTGTCTTTATATAAAGTCAATGTGCTTATCATGTTAGTTCTGGTTAGGAGGTCCGTATTGCAACTGCTAGCTCCTGTAAAATTGTGGATAATTTAAGTCATAGGCTCATGCTAATAAAACAGGATATTAGCTATAGTAGTGAATCAGGATTAATTTTCTTGGCTTTGCTTAACATTAAATTAGTTTGCTGACAAGAGCACCTGTACTGCAGCCGCATCAAGATGGACCAGCTTATTATCCTGTAGTGGCAATTCTTTCTCTTGGATCTCCTGTAGTTATGGATTTCACTCCACATCCTAATTTGAGAAGCTGTGTTGGTACACATGGAAATGGTGTTGATGCAAAAATTTCTGATCCGGAGGCTGCTGTGATGAATTCTGGTGAACAGCTCGATAATTGCCATCCATTTTCTATCGTATTGATGCCTCGCAGTTTGTTGATATTCAAAGACTCGGTGTACTCAGGTAAAACTTTCTATTTGGTGTAGTTTCGACAGAACCACTCAGGTTACCGTTCAACATACTGCTGAGGTTTTGATAACTACTCTCAGAGTACTTTGAAGATGTGCCAACTTGAAGTTTTAACTTCTATTGCTAGTGACCTAAAAGGTTCCCTCACAGCCGCACCTCCACCCCCCTACCCCCCCCCCCCCCTCCTCCAATGCTAGTTGTCCAATTGCACCAGACTTGTCAATAAGCCCCTACACTTTATTCACAAAGGCCAATAGCTGATGTCACTAGCCTTAACTTTTTTATCTACTAGACAGCTGACGTGAGTACAACTTTCTTCAAGGAAGTGTCACATGATATTATATTAGTAAAGAGCCCTTGATCCCTTTATTTACTAGTCCTGGAGGTTTCGCCCTTTGCTTCTGGCTTTGATGATGGCAAATAGTCAAAAAAGTTCCTCGTAGAACGCGAGCGTTGAGGCTTTCATCAAAACAAAGAGAAGCTCGATTGCACCCAAGGGTGTGGTCAATGAAGTGGATGAGAACCATGAGGTTTGTTCAAATCCCAACAGAGGCAAAAAAAACACTAGGTGATTTCTTCCCATATGTCCGAGCCTTAGTGGATAGAGTTACTTGTTGCTGGCGGGAGGTGGCAGGTATCCTATGGAATTAGTTGAGGTGTGCGCAAGTTGGCCCGGACACCACTGTTATCAAAGAGAGAGAGAGGGGCCCGACCGGTGCTTTTTCAAAATCCCCAACACGCTTATCGAAAATCCGTGATTCACCTCTGTTTATCAAAAGCTCTATGGGCATTTGTAAAGATGTCTAAAATAGTTGCACATATTTGTTACTTAGTATTGGTGTTGTTTCTTGTTTTCCAGACTACTTGCATGGTATAAAAGATTCTGAGATGCAGCGATGTAACGAGGTCAGATGACTAGCATTGCTGAGTGTGTAGTGGGGTTATCCTCAGTATCAGTTGAAATGAGTACCTGATGTCTTTGTATAATTGTGCTCCTTTTTTCCAGGCTGTGAATATAACAAATGCTGAAAATGATGGAGTGGTTCAGCACTTATCACGTTCGGTGAAAGCACTGGATAGTGATGAAACTGTCATTTACAGGGCTAATACAAGAGTTTCTTTGACCTGTCGAGTAGTAACAAAGGTTTGCAAAAATATTTTTAAGTTCTAGCTTCATACAGAAATAAAACTAGTCAACAGACCAACGCCAGGACGAGTAGAGCATTGAGTCCAGGAGAATTACTACCACCCTGCAGTTTTGTAATATCTTACCATATTGATGTGCTAGATTGCACCATGAAAACCTCAATGATTTAACAATTTAAATGTAGCATAGCTAGATTAATCCATTCCTTTTCTTCATCTATGCATAATTGACTACAAGTATTTTATGCGGCCGGTATACTTGTTTCGTTGCCTTTGAGAACGTTTTATAGGACTTGATGTCTAATGTTGTATAGGGAAATTTTAGGTTTAATTATATTTAGAATTATGAGGATTTGGTGGTATTTGCGCCTATATGAACAGCTGCCAGGCAAAACAGTTATATTTAATTGCCAGAGGTGAAACATGGTCTTAGTTATTACCCAAATTGATAAACTAAAATTTGACGAAACATGCCTAGGTTGAGTGATATAGTACGCTTTGTAATACCAATAAGCTTTTTATGTTTTTCGTGCTGTACTTTATCACCCGAAAAATTATTATACGTAGAGGAGGGGAATGAACCCCACCAATAAGGTGAAAGTTACAGGTGGCTAATTTATTGGGGAGTCAATTACTCAGATGGTTACTCAACTTTCCGAAATTATCTACCAAAGTCTTTCTTTCTTTCGTTTTGCATATAGTGCTCAGAAGGCCACTCAACTAGATTTATCAAACCTTTGATCACCAAATACCTATTTTACCCTCTAAATTATCAACTTTTATCTTTTTTTTTTTCTTTTTTAATATTATGATTGTTTCTCTTTTTAATCAACATTGTGGACTTACCTATAGAACAAAAATATTTTATTTAAAAATAAAAAATAAAAAAATATTTTTCTAGAATATATAGTGTTGAAATAATAATATAATTGAGCATAATATTAAAGAATATGTAATGTATATTACTGTAGGCATATAAATTTTATTAAAATTAAATCCATAAAATAATTTGGATTTTATTATAAATTCAAGATATATTGGTCGAAATAAATATTACGGGCTAATATAATTGGATTAATTATATAAGTCCAATACGTATGGATTAAATAAATAAGTGTAAATTCATTGGGCTAGCCCATTTATTAAGCCCAAAATGTCATTTTCCAAGAGGCCAATTTTGGTACCACGTGTCAAATGACGTGGCATGCCAAGTCAAACGAAAGAGACAATAGGATCATGCCACGTGTCAAAATGACAAGGCATGCCAAGTCACATTAAAAGGCCAATGAAACCGCGCCACATGTACAAGTGATATGTTCTGGCCAATCAAATGCTGCCTTGTCACACTTGAATTTGATTGGTCGGAAAGAGTTTGTTCTTATCATAACTCTTCCCTCCCACAATTATAAATAGGGGTCTTCATAACCCAGAAAACACACCAGAAGTTATAACAAGAAGCAAGAGAGAGCTCGTGGATCAAACGTTGCAGATTTCTCTAAAAGCTACAAGCATTCAAGTGTTTTAAGGATTAAAAGATCAAGAGAAAGATTCAAGAACAAGCTGCAAGCCCTTGGATTAAAAATACGTCAAGATCAAGATCAGACCTCAAGCACTTGGATTAAAGTAAAATAAAATTCAAGATTAAGCTCGAAGACTCATTTATTTACCGTTGGAATGAAGAATCAGAAGATTCATAGAGATTGTACACTCATATTGTTTGAAATAAAATACTACGATTGTTGCAATATTTTTCGGTCTTGATTTTATTTTCCCGACACAATTTATTGTCTACAATTACAAAAATACCTTTGTTTTTAATAGTTATTTTCTATAGTACGTGCATGGAATATATATTTAAAACTTCTATTTTCTTTCATTCTCAATTGTGTAAATAATTTATTCTCTGTTAATTTCAAAATTATTATTACCAACTAATAGTTCTAATTAACTTTCTACTATGCTCAAATATTTTATTATTCCATACATATATATGCTTAAACACTATTTTAATTTTTTTTAACTTATAAATAAAATTTATTTATTCTAAGGTAAGTCCATAACATAAATTAAAAAGAGAAAAAATTATTATATTAAAAAGCTAAAAAAATAAAAGAAGATAAAAGTTGATAATTAGAGTGTAAAATAGGTTTTTGGTGATCAAAAATTTGAAAAAACTAGTTGACTGACCTTCTAAGTACTATTGACATAGTTAAGTGACTTTGTTGTTACAAACGAAACAAAGATGACATTGGCAGATAATTTCAGATAGTTGAGTGACCATCTAAGTAATGGACTCATTTATTGGGCTACCATACTTTACCCTTTTATTTAATTTAAGGAAATTTTACCTCATATAGCAAAGGTTCATACCTTATTTACTATAAATAAATACTCTTTTAAAAATTATCTCCTATAGCTACCTTTTAATTTTTATAGCAAAATCTATTTATGGTCACTTCCTACCTTTAAGCCATTAAATATGCTATGTATTATTATTCTCTCTCCTCCTTTCTCTTTCTTCTTTCTTCTCTTTTTCCCCGGTTTTTTCCTCCCCTGCTTTTATCGGTGGCGGCGACCTGGATATCGGTGGATTGGGGATGGAGTTTGGGGCTAAGGAACTTGAAGAGTCTGTTACCTATTTTTTCATTGTATTTCAATGTATCTCTTTGTAGTCCATGTATTTTATTGTATTCACTATCTTTTTTTTCATTGTATTTCAATGTATCTTGCTGTATTCCATGTCTCGCTATATTACGTGAATGTATTCATATGTTTTTCTAATTAATATTATTTAAGTATTCAGATATATATTCATATGTATTACGTGAATGTGTATGTGTGTGTGTGTGTATATATATATATATATATGTATGTATGTATTCAAGTGTATCTGCAGTATGTATTCATATGTTTTGCACTATAGATGACCTGCTATACTTCATGTGTTCAATGTATTTTTATGTATTTAACCGTATTCAATGTAATTATATAATTTTAATATATAAATGTATTTGACAGATATGGTGTATTGATGATTTGATTAGAGATTCGATTCTTGGCAATTGCTTGACTTAATTGATGTGATGTTTGAATTGTATTATGAAGTTATTCATTATTTTACTTAATCGAAGGAGGAGTTTGATATTGAATTTCTATACATCTCATGCTCTAGTTTAAATTCGTGATTCATCTAGGTAACCGAAGAGCTTCTTGAATTATTAATTAAACTAAAAAAAGAAGGAAATATTCGTGAAGAGTTACCCTTTGGACTAAAATCATTATTATATTCATAGTAAGTGTTCATAGTGTTTCAATTGGGAATTAAAGTTTAATCGAAAGAAGAACATTAACTTCAAGTGTAATCTAATTTTCTGGTGAATTCGTGAGAATCAGCAGTATTATAGAGTGAACTAATTCAAGCATTGGATCCCGAGTTAATCGTCGTGCACTTGTCTAGTCAATTACCCTTATTTCCCCACTGATATTTCTGTGTTGCTCAGTTCTTGTCCTTGTGATCAATTGATATTTGCTTTACTTTTAGTAGTTAATTGTAGTTGATAATAATCCAATCAAAGTGTTAATCATCCTGGATAGCAAGTAACTGAAAATTATTCTAACATCTTTTAAATCCAATCCCTATGAAGACGATAATTAAACTATACTATCTTTGACTAGTGAGCATTAATTTCATGTTGTGTTTTGTGCTCATCAAATGTTGGCGCTGTTGTCGGGGATTAAAAATCAATAGTGTTTAAAATAATTTTTGGTGCTAATTCAGGAACCAATTTTATTTTCTTGTATTCACGTTTTCTCACTTGTGTGCAAGCAACAAGTTTAACTTCTCTGGTGTCTAACTCGATCTTCTTCAAAGGAAGTGATACCTTACGAAGCGGAGTTGGAGAAATACCTAGGACAACTGAGAAAAGAAAGAGGAATCACTGAAAATTTCTTGGGGTAATCTTTGACCCAAGAACACATGGCAAAAAATGGTGATGATAGAGTCGATTTGGCTGCAAGGGAAGTAGCCCAACGACAAGAAGTAGCTCTAGGAGATGACGAAATTGTTAATTGGGACGGAGAATGGAGATTCAACCTGAACCGGCCTCTTGCGGAAGATGCATCCAATAATGTGGGTTCTAGAGCAGGCAGATCATTGGGTGATTATGCCAGACCAGTCTACAATCAGGGACTGCCGAGTGTCAGACCTCCACCCATAGCAGAGAATAGTTTTGAGCTGAAGCAAGACTTGCTTCAAACCATCCAAAACAACTACATCTTTGGAGGGAATGTGCATGAAGATGTGAACACTTACTTGATGGACTTTGAGGAAATCATGAATACCTTCTAATACAACAGTGTGTCAAAGATGCAATCTACTTAAGGGTATTCCCCTTTTCACTGAAGGATGATGTGATGCACTGGTTTCAAAGCCTACCAACTGGGTCGAGGACATGGGAAGATATGACGAAAAAAATTTCTGGACAAGTACTTCTCATCTGTAAAAATAGGGAAATTCAGAATAGAAATCCACAATTTGCCAGAAGGACACTGAAATAGTCTTCGAAGCTTGGGAAAGATTTAAGGAGATATTGAAAAGGTGCCAGCATAATAAAATCGAATTGTTGATGCAACTTCAAGATTTTTGGGATGGATTGATACTCTCCTCATAAAGAACTCTGAGTAACGCAGTTGGAGGTCCATTAATGAAGAAAACTCTTGAGGAGATTGTCTCTATCCATGACGAATTATCTAAGGATGCTAATCAATAGCCAGCTAAGAGCAATGAAAGAAGAAAATAAGATGGGGTTCACCAAGTGGAATCTAATACATCAGTGCAAGTGCAGCTAGACACCATTTCCAAGGAGATAAGAAAGTTGACTTTAACCAAGGTACAAAGGGACACCCTACTCATGAGTATCAAGCTTCAGCAGCGGAAGTTAATATTATGGGGAACTATAATAGGGAAAACTACCAAGGTAGAAATAACTTCAATGCTATGGGGCAAAGACATCTAGGTTTTCCATGGAGTTTACCTAGTGAGAGTTTGAACTCGTGGAAGAAAAATAATCCTAGACCGTAGGGTCAAGGATCTCCAAGTTTTAAGAACCATCCAAGGCAATAATACCAGCAATACCAGCCATAACAGTCAAATCAGTCTAGTATGAATAATTTCATGAAGACTTTCATCAACAAGTCTGAAGAGAGGTTCAATATCACAGT